ATCATAAACCTCAATCTGTAGTACACACAAAATGCACATTGTGAATACTCAAATGAATAAGCAGCTTCTAGAAAAATCTTCATACACATTTCTCATAGAATCATAGAATCATAGAGTTGGAAGAGACCACAAGGGCCATCGAGTCCAACCCCCTGCCAAGCAGGAAACACCATCAGAGCACTCCCGACATATGGCTGTCAAGCCTCTGCTTAAAGACCTCCAAAGAAGGAGACTCCACCACACTCCTTGGCAGCAAATTCCACTGTCGAACAGCTCTTACTGTCAGGAAGTTCTTCCTAATGTTTAGGTGGAATCTTCTTTCTTGTAGTTTGGATCCATTGCTCCGTGTCCGCTTCTCTGGAGCAGCAGAAAACAACCTTTCTCCCTCCTCTATGTGACATCCTTTTATATATTTGAACATGGCTATCATATCACCCCTTAACCTCCTCTTCTCCAGGCTAAACATGCCCAGCTCTCTTAGCCGTTCCTCATAAGGCATCGTTTCCAGGCCTTTGACCATTTTGGTTGCCCTCCTCTGGACACGTTCCAGTTTGTCAGTGTCCTTCTTGAACTGTGGTGCCCAGAACTGGACACAGTACTCCAGGTGAGGTCTGACCAGAGCAGAATACAGTGGCACTATTACTTCCCTTGATCTAGATGCTATACTCCTATTGATGCAGCCCAGAATTGCATTGGCTTTTTAGCTGCCGCGTCACACTGTTGGCTCATGTCAAGTTTGTGGTCAACCAAGACTCCTGGATCCTTTTCACATGTACTGCTCTCAAGCCAGGTGTCACCCATCTTGTATTTGTGCCTTTCATTTTTTTTTGCCCAAGTGCAATACTTTACATTTCTCCCTGTTAAAATTCATCTTGTTTGTTTTGGGCCAGTTCTCTAATCTGTCAAGGTCATTTTGAAGTGTGATCCTGTCCTCTGGGGTGTTAGCCACCCCTCCCAGTTTGGTGTCATCTGCAAATTTGATCAGGATGCCCTTGAGTCCATCATCCAAGTCGTTGATAAAAATGTTGAATAAGACCGGGCCCAAGACAGAACCCTGTGGCACCCCACTAGTCACTCTTCTCCAGGATGAAGAGGAACCATTGATGAGCACCCTTTGGGTTCGGTCAGTCAGCCAGTTACAAATCCACTGAGTGGTAGCATAGTCAAGACCACATTTTACCAGCTTCTTTACAAGAATATCATGAGGCACCTTGTCAAATGCCTTGCTGAAATCAAGGCAGGCTACATCCACTGCGTTCCCTTCATCTACCAGGCTTGTAATTCTGTCAAAAAACGAGATCAGGTTAGTCTGACATGACTTATTTTTCAGAAATCCATGCTGACTATTGGTGATCACAGCATTCCTTTCTAGGTGCTCACAGACTGTTTGCTTAATGATCTGCTCCAGAATCTTCCCTGGTATTGATGTCAGACTACTGGGCGGTAATTATTTGGGTCCTCTCTTTCCCCCTTTTTGAAAATAGGGACAACATTTGCCCTCCTCCAGTCTGCCGGGACTTTGCCTGTTCTCCAGGAATTCTCAAAGATGACTGCCAGTGGTTCTGAGATCACATCTGCCAGTTCTTTTAATACTCTTGGATGCAGTTCATCTGGCCCTGGAGACTTGAATACATCTAAACTAGCCAAGTATTCTTGTACTATCTCCTTAGTTATTCTGGGCTGTGTTTCCTTTGCTGAATCATTTGCTCCAAATTCTTCAGGTCGGGCATTGTTTTCTTTATCTTTCTCGCATGCAAATTAACATTGCTAGTTTAGGCAGATTTAAACAAAACACTTTTTGTACTCAAACACACTTGCTCCTTCAATCCTGATCCTTTAAACATATTATACATGAACCACTTTAGGTCAGGTAAGGAAATAAATAAAGCGTTTTGTACTATTACTCTCAGCACACTTCATGCCTGGTTTAAAAACTCCACCAGAGTTGCTCATGACCGCAGCCTTTGCAAACTCTTCAGAAAACCTTTTCGGTGGTACACCCTTGGTTGTTCTCTCGGATCTGCGCAAAACTCTCTGATCCTCTTGTTCTGGTGCTTCCTCCTCTTTGGGAGAGTGGGGAGCTAAAGTATATGAAGCTGCTAAGTCTGAATCAGCGTCAGACTCTCCTGAGGCTTTTGGGCTGTGATAATCTGTGCCACCACCTGAATCTACATCGGCATCAGAATTATCAATCACATCAGAACTTCCCTCGGAGTCACCCGGAAGCATCCTTACAAGTCTCTCTCTCGCTCTCTCTCTCTCTCTCTCTCTCTCTCCCTCTCCCTCTCCCTCTCCCCTTGTCAATGCAAATGAAGCCGCCCCTCCTGCTCGGCGACCCTTGTTGGGGATGACCCGTGTACGTGAGAACGCAAGGTCATTTGCTTCCTTTCAAAACTTTGTTTTCTCGGACCCCGATCTGGGACTGCACTGCGCAGGCATTCAGTAGGGAGTCCCGAATTTAGTCTCAAAGGCTAGGCAGGAGGCTGTTGTGGATGGTAGAACAGGAGGTTCACAAACTGGGACCCCACACTAGGGTTAGTCTTGTAAGCAGCGCTGAGGTCAAATTCCGGATCCGTGGTTATTTTCCGGGTGAAGAGACCCGTGGTTTTCCAGGCTTGCGCCTGTGGTTTTCCGGGTGAAGAGACCTGTGGTTTTCCAGGCTTGCGCCTGTAGTTTCTGTGAGGAGAACCTGAGCTTACAGGGTTAAACAGCTCAGAGTGTACGCCCTGCCTACTATTTGGGAGGGGGGAGATTCTGCGTCATATCCGAGAGTCTAAACCCTTTGTTCTCTCTACTTTCGCTTTTGAGGAGAGTGGACGTGTTTTCACTGAAGTTTGCAGCTTTCTCTTACCGCTGCTTAACTCTGCATTTGCTCAGAGCATCGGAATGTGGCCTTTGAAATCCGGAGGCCTGGCCAGTAGCAACGCAGCCGAAGCGGGCTGGACACCAGGATTTATCTGAGCAATAAATCTTCTTCAGTTTCCTAGACAAGTCGTTTATAGTTTACTGATAGGTAGGGATTGTGCTAGTCAAAGATAACCTGAATACTGAAAGAATATTCTTTCTCTACCCCCCTTCCTTTTCTCCCTTTCCTTGTGTGCCCGTTCTTTCTGTCTCTTAGTGTACTTTGTTAAGGAAAACCCCCACTATACGTATTAAAGGAAATGGGAGCCCACGCTTCCAAACATTCCGACTGGACTCCTCCAGGCGACAAGGCTTCCGTGAAGCCTTTCTGCCCTAGAGAGGACTCCAATACCCGTCTACAATTCGTTCTCTCAAGTTGGAAACAGCTGAGAGGGAGGAAGGGTCTCTCCAAGTCTAAACTGAGGGACCTCTGCAACATCTCGTGGGTTGCTTTCACCCACCATCTGGAGCCGGCCTCTCAATGGCCACCTCATGGTTCCTTTAATCTCGTGAAGATGCAGGCACTTAAATCTTATCTTACCGATGAAAAGCCCTGGCAGCTTTATTACCTCAACGCCTTCGTTGAAGCCTGTGAATTGTTCCAACGGCAACAAGCCCAAATTGTTCGACAAATGGCTGTTCTAAAAACAACCAGACCTCCTCCATACGATGAAATTAGAGCCCAAGAGGAGCAGTTGGATAGAACCCTCGTCCCTTTCTATTATCCCGAACCAAGAGGACCCCACCCGCCAGGACCCGGGGCAGGAGCCAGAGCAGGAGCCGGAGGAGGCGGTGGACTTGGGGAAAACGTAATAAATCAACCCGCCGTTACCCCTTCTCAAAGCTCATCAGTCACATTGCCTCTCAACCCTCCCTAAAACTCATCCGAGACAGGGAAGACCAAACCGATTCGGATACGAAAGCCCTACCCAACGGGGAACCTTTTAATGAAGGAAGGGACGGACCAGTCTCCAGTAGAACTCGGAATAGGGATAACCTACTAAACGGAGAGGCAGAGGGCGCATTTCCCCTCAGGGCATTACCTATTCCCCCGGCCAGGGCAGGAGACCCACCCCGCATGGTCTTCACACACCAACCCTTCCTTACCTCGGATTTAATGAACTGGTCCGACAAAATGCCATCTCTTCGGGACGACCCCGACAAATGCCACCGCCAAGTGGCCACCATTTTTCCACCCACAACCCCACGTGGGCAGATGTACATATGTTACTTGGGGCCCTTTTTAATGAGGCAGAAAAAAGAGAGATACTGGCAAAGGCGGGGGAAGCTTTGGCTCGAGCAGACTACCAACCAAACCGACCCGCCTCGATGACCCCACTGACCGCTCAGACTTTAATTAACGATCCTGACTGGGACTATAATACTACGGATGGTTTATGGGGCTTAAAGATTTTCAAGAAAGCCATCTTGGATGGCATCAAGGCTGCAGGACAGCGAACCATGAATTGGACCAAAGTCCAAGCCGTCCTTCAAGGACCTGATGAACACCCGTCTGAGTATTATTCTCGCCTGGTTTCTGCAATTAAAACTTCGGGTGGGATAGACCCGGAGAGTCCTCAGCATGAGGTTATTGTCAAAGGGTTCTTGTCATCATTGATCAATTGACCGGATGGGTGGAATGCTTCCCGACTCGCCGAGCTACTGCCCAAATAGTCGCTAAAATTCTACTGCATGAAATAATACCACGATTTGGGGTTCCGAGACACATAGACAGCGACAGGGGCTCACACTTCACATCCGACATAGTCCAACAAGTAGCTAGAGCTCTAGGGATTAAATGGAAGTTTCACACCCCATATCACCCCCCCCTCCTCAGGGAAGGTTGAAAGAATGAACCAGCAGCTTAAGTCTCAGCTAGGAAAACTCTGCAAAGACTCTGGAATCAAATGGGTCAATGCCCTCCCCTTGGTCTTACATAACCTCAGGGCATGCCCCCATGGGAACCTGAACTTATCTCCTTATGAATTACTTTTGGGAGACCCTCCCCCGTATACAACACCCAATTTCCCCCATCTGAATTAGAAGTGGGCGAGTCAGAATTAACCCGATATATAATACAGCTCCAGAAGCAACTGATGGTTCTCCACATATACGCGGCCGGGAGCCAAAATATACCTCTAGACGAGAACATCCAACCGTTCCAACCAAGAGACTGGGTACTGGCAAAGACTTATCAGAAGGTACCCCTACAGCCCACCTGGGAAGGACCCTACCAGGTACTTCTAACTACCCCAACCTCTGTTAAGGTAGCAGAGAAGTCGGCCTGGCTACATCATACCCGCTGCAAACCAGCTTCTCCACCCAACGCCACCACTGACAATGCACCATACTCCACTCCACCACAACCGGCAGACGACGACACCGACTCCGAGGAGAACCAGCAGGCCGGACCAGATCGGGGCACGAATCGGGCCCAACAGACCGGACCAGATCGGGGCATGAATCGAGCCCAACAGACCGGACCAGATCGGGGCACGAATCGAGCCCAACAGACCGGACCAGATCGGGGCACGAAGTGGGCCCTACAGACCAGACCTGCCTCAACACCAGCACCGACCCAATGGACCTCTGAAATCCTCCCTACAACGGACAACCAGGAGCAACCCCTGATCCTCCTCCGACTCCGTAAGGCACCGCTTCACGCCGTTTGACAGCTCGCCTTTTGACAGCTCGCCTCTTTGACAGCTCGCCTTTTGACAGCTCGCCTTTTGACAACTTGCCTCTTTGACAGCTCGCCTTTTGACAGCTCGCCTTTTGACAGCTCGCCTTCTGGCAGCTCGCCCTTTGACATCTTCGCCTCTTGGCAGCTTCCCCGTTTGACAGTTTGCCTTTCACAGCCTGCCGCCTACCGCCACCCTGTTCCCGACCACCATGCCCTCCACTGGACGTACCCCACCTCCTTCCTCCTCCATCCTACTCATGCTCTCCATTTTTGCCACTACCATGACCTGCTCAAAGACCATCATGACCACGCATGTTTCATGCCCAGGATTACAAATCGAGTACCAATATCTTGATTTCGGGATTGTGGACATTGTAAAAAGAGGAACATTGGATCGCTTAGGGATTTCGACTTCTGCGTACCAGAAACCCGCGTTCTCCTTCGCCACTCCATACGACCTACCCTCACCACACACCAAACCTGGGAACTGTTCATCCGTTCGCCAACTTACACACCACTCGGCAAACTCATACTGAGCCGAGATGGCCCCTGGAACCGAGCCCGCTGCATAAATGGCTCCTACACACTATTCACTGACAGTGTGCCCCAACAATCGCTGAATTGGACACTATTGGACAATGGCGGCGGGGAATCAGTCTACACAGACCGAAACCACCCGACCGACCGTCTGATCCATGGATTTTACTGCCAGAGAGTGGACTCCGTACCTCGCCCCACCACCCTCCAGGGAGTTTGCCTCCGAAGGTACTGCTGCGTCTGGGACATCGGCCTTGCCTCCACCTGGGATGGCAGAGCGTACCTTGAGGGCTGGCATCACTCCACCACCCCACCCGCGGAGTGGGATACTACTGGGCCCCAAAGATGTGGAGGTGTGGCTACTAACCTCACCTACCTACTGTTAGGATATTTCCGTTCCACCTTAAAAGGGAGCAGGCTTTGTGAGACAGAGTCTGCGTATTTCCTGTTCACAGGATGTTTATGTTTTCTGTTGCTTTCGTTTTTCTCTCTGTGTCGTAGACACTAAAGCAGGCAGTCATGTTTTTCTGTGTTCTGATCAACGCTGAATAAACTTGTAAATAATGCTCTCCTGAGTGCAACTTTTGGCTGTGCATTATCTGCTGATAGAGTGTGCATGAGCTCTGGAATGTGGCGAGATATTTTCTAGAAACTCATGTCGCTAATTGTTGATACTGCGTGCCTACGGGAGGTCGATGGATCGTCCGGCAGACGGCTTGGGGCCATGATGGACTTTGTCTCCCTGGCAGTATCCCAACAACAGGTTATGGGCCCAGATTCACGGCACTTACAGGAGAGTAAGACTGCGACAGACTGCGTTGAGGTATGTGGGAAAAGCGAAAGTGAAGCTTTTCTGTTTGCCGTGGCAAGGGCTTCAGATGTCTGGCTGGCCCTAATTGGTCTGGGAGCCGAGCCAAAGAGGCCTCAAGATTAATGGGAGCCAAGATAAGAAGTCTCTGAAGTGAATAAGACTCACGGCTCAAATAAAAGGCTGGAATGGAGTTCATCCAAGCTTCTGAAGCTGCTGAGTGCCCAAAGTTAAATCGGCACAATTATGGGACCTGGGCTGTGTGGTGTGAGAGCTTGCTTCGACAGTTTGGAGTGTGGCATACTGTGTCTGAAGCCCCTCCAGTTCCTCTGACAGATACATGGAAAGCCCAGAATTTGAGGGCCATTGACTTAATAGTATCGTCCGTCTCTCTGGAGGAAATTAAAACGCTTGCTGGCAACACCACTGCACGTAAGATGTGGAATGCTTTGAAAGTAGCCCATCTGCCAGTCATCCCAGCCCAGAGTTTGACTGCATCGGAGGTCCTGGCTGTTTCCCAGAATGCGAGTGAATGCAGGGATGCCGAGGGCACCGGTTGCAAGCTGCAGGGGGAGCTGACTGTCACGTCATCCCAGGCAGCATTCCAGCCTCCAGGGGAGCCAAGGAGTCGGCAGCTGAGAACTCTGTTTCTCGTGAGAACCAAGGTCATCGCCTTTGCAGAGGCCGGAAGGCCAGAAGTAAACAGAGGCAGATGCCTGCAGATGGCCCGAAGCAGAGGGAGGGTGAAGAGCCCACGCCAGTGGAAAACAAGGCTTTGTTTGCTGGCACAGCTTCACCAAAGGCTAAAGGCAAGTCTGATGGCCAGGAGCAGGGGGGTAAGCTGCAAAAGCCCACGGCGGTGGAAAACAAGGTTTTGCTTGCTGCAAAGGCTGCTCCAAAGGCCAAAGCCAGGTTTGTTGTTGATTCAGGGAGTACCCGCCATGTCTCAAAAGACCGCCATCTCTTTATCTCCTTCAAACCTCAAGAAGGTGAGATCCACCTGGCTGACGGAAAGACGTTGCGAATCGCAGGAGAAGGGACTGTGAAACTGGCAAATCTGCACACTACCATCAAAGATGTACTATATGTTCCAGGTGCTGCAGACAATTTGCTCAGTGTCCCACAGCTCACTGGGCGTGGTTTTGAGATTTCCTTCAAGAGGAGCGTCTGTGTCATCAGAAAAGGTAAAGAGGACATTTTGCATGCAAAGTTTATGGATGGCTTGTTCTGTATAACTTATGATGACATTGGTGCTGTTGTGTCTAATGCTGATTCTTGTTGTGTTGCACAAACTAACAAAGTTCTTCATGCAGGATGCATTCACGATGCACACTGAAGGTTTTGTCACCTCTCTTGGAAGGCACTGGCCAAGATGCCAGAGATGGTTGAGGGTTTGAACATCAAACCCTGTAAGTTTCACATGAAATGTGTATCTTGTGCAGAGAACAAGGTGAAGGTTGCTCCAAAAGGCAAGGAGTCTAGCAGGCAGGCTTCCAAACCCTACCAGCTAGTGCACGCAGACCTGGTTGGTCCACTTGCGCCCTCTTTGGGTGGAGCAAGGTACTTCATGGTTCTAATTGACTCTTTTTCCAGGTACATTCATGTGTTTATGCTCGAGCAGAAATCGCAAGCGTTTCCTAAGTTCAAGGCATTCTGTGCTTGGTTGGAGAATGTTCACGGTAAACGTATTGGCTGTCTCTTTACTGATCGAGGCGGGGAGTTCACTTCTCAGCAGTTTGAAGCTTTCCTGACTGAGAAGGGAATTCAGCATGACTTGTCAACGCCTAGATCACCATGGATGAATGGGCTTGCGGAGCGAGCAAATCAAACGTTGCTGCAAGGAGTGGAAACCTTGTTGCATGATGCCAATCTCCCTGAGAAGTTTTGGGGGGAGGCTCTGTCGAATTTTGTTTACACTTATAATCGCAGATTGTCATCACCTATTGGTTGTAACCCCTATGAGAAGATGTTTGGTAAGAAACCCAACATCAAGCACATGAGAATCTTTGGTTCTGACATGTGGGTACACACCCCACAGAGCAACAAGCTTGGGAAGCGTGGGGCACATGGTTTGTTCATGGGGTACGAAAAAGGTGCATACAGGGTGTGGATGACTGACTCTAAATCCATTAAGTTCACAAAGAGTGTTGAGTACAATCCTAAGTGGGGGGGAAATGTGGGAATTTTCCAGAGTTACCCAGAGGAGGATGAAGGTGATGTGAAGAAAGCAGATAATGTTGAGGAAGCTGCTGAGGATGATGATGATGATCAGAGTTCGGATTCCAGTTCAGTGGGCGGCGCTGCTGCTGATGTCAGTGACAGTGATGACACAGCAGACTACAAGAGCGCGAAGGCCTCAGTCAGACCATCTGATGCGTCTGACAATGAACTGGAAGAACCACTGTTCACCATTGGTCACTTTTCTCCTAAGAAGGAGGAGATGAGTCCAGAAGACTTGCGTCTAGTACGCAGATCTGAAAGAGCCACAAAGGGCAGACCTCCAAAGAGATTTGCTGATGAGTTTGCTAAGACAGCAACTGCTGTTCTTAGTAGCTCAGAGAAGGTATGGGAACCTTCAAGCTTCAAAGAGGTTCAGGAATTAACCTCTAAAGATGCTGAGCCTTGGCTTGATGCCATGAAGGCTGAAGTTGATTCCTTGAACAGGAACCAAACTTGGAAACTGGTACCGGTTGTCCCAGGAATGAGACTGGTTGGCAGCAAATGGGTCTTCAAGGCCAAGACAGACCAGAATGGCAAGGTTGTCAGACACAAAGCCAGATTGGTTGCCAGAGGTTTTTCACAGGTACCAGGACAGGATTACCACGAGACCTACTCACCCACAGTCAAATATGAGAGCATTCGGCTGATGCTCAAGATAGCTGCAGAGGAGAAACTGCATGTTTCCCATCATGACATTAATACAGCTTTTTGTACGGGATTTTGGGGGAGGAGCTGTTTATGCTTCCACCTGACGGGATGCAGATACAGAAGGGAATGGTCTGTAAACTGCGGAAATCCTTATATGGTCTCAAGCAGAGTGCCAGGTGTTGGAACACAAAACTCACTGAGACATTGCTTTCTCTAGGTTTTCACCAGGGCAAAGCTGATCCATGTGTGTTTGTCAAGGAGGAGGGGCAAAACAAACTGTATTGTTTATGTTTTGTTGATGATCTTCTGATGTTTTGGAAGAATCAGGCTTTGTACCAAAGCACCCTAGCTCAGCTGAAGGAGCACTTTGACATGAAGGATCTTGGTGAGGTATCCAACTATCTTTCTCTGCAGGTGGAAAGGGACCAAGCAGGTAATTTTCTGGTACACCAAACACAGAAAATTGCTGATGTATTAACCAGGTTGAATTTGGTTGATGCAAACCCAGCAGACACACCGATGGTGACAGGTTACCAGGTAGACAGTACTGCTGAAGCGTTTTCTGACACCACACTGTACAGATGCATTCTAGGCAAGTTGAATTTCATTGCTAGATGCTCAAGACCTGACATTGCTGTAAGCACTAACCTGCTTAGCAGACATGCTAACAATCCTACTGTTCAGGATTGGAAAGCTCTGAAGCGCATAGCCCGCTATTTGAAAGGGACTTTGCACTACAGGCTGAGGTTCACCAGTCAGAAGACTGGAGGTCTTGAAATCTTTGCAGATGCAAGTTTTGGAAGTGGCACCACGGATGGTACAAGCACTTCTGGAGTATGCTACATGTACAACCACTGCCTGTTTGACTGGTTGTGCAAAAAGCAGACGACAGTGAGCCTAAGTTCCTGTGAAGCAGAACTCAATGCTCTGTCATTTTCACTCATGGATTGTGAATGGTTGATGCAACTGTTTAAGGACATCAGAGTTTCTGTGAAATGTCCTGTACAAGTGTATCAAGACAATAGATCGTGTTTGGCTTTGCTGAACTCAGAGAGTTGCAAGCAAAGAACCAAGTACTTGCAAATTAAGCTACATCGTGCAAGAGAGTGTATTGAGAAAGGACTCATTCAGGTGTCCTACATGCCAGGAAATGAAATTTCTGCTGATCTGTTGTCTAAGGTTGTTAACAGAGAACAACTTAAGGTTTACGTACAAAGGTTGCAATTGGGTTGAACCACAGGTACTACAGGTTACACGGAAAGGGGGAGGATGTTAGGATATTTCCGTTCCACCTTAAAAGGGAGCAGGCTTTGTGAGACAGAGTCTGCATATTTCCTGTTCACAGGATGTTTATGTTTTCTGTTGCTTTCGTTTTTCTCTCTGTGTCGTAGACACTAAAGCAGGCAGTCATGTTTTTCTGTGTTCTGATCAACGCTGAATAAACTTGTAAATAATGCTCTCCTGAGTGCAACTTTTGGCTGTGCATTATCTGCTGATAGAGTGTGCATGAGCTCTGGAATGTGGCGAGATATTTTCTAGAAACTCATGTCGCTAATTGTTGATACTGCGTGCCTATGGGAGGTCGATGGATCGTCCGGCAGACGGCTTGGGGCCATGATGGACTTTGTCTCCCTGGCAGTATCCCAACACCTACATCGACAGGACCCCCTCCACAAAGGGGGGAACTGTCGATATCCGAACCCCCTACCAATGACGACCTGTTATCCACCTGGCAATCCAACACCTACGTGAAGCTGGTCTCCGAAATTGCAAAGCAAGCTACCACTGACAACTGTTGGATCTGCGCCAATGCCCCGGCTCACCTCCGCAGTGGCATTCCTTTTCTTGGAGTACCCCTCACCTTACAACAACACCTCTCTGCTGATGTACAGTCCTGGAACCTGACTGCTGTGAACTTAACTCACCAGTACATCTACCTAACCGGACCTACGAAAAGTGACCTCTGTCGGAAGTTCAGCGGCAATGACAGGATGATTGGAGAAAGCACCTGTAAGTACATCATTGACATCACCCTGACCGGTAAAATCACTTTGTGGCGACAGGGCACCCCCTCTACCCATCCAGATCTGTTGTCTGCTTGGAAGCAAGTGATGAATTTGCCTAATTCTTGGGACCCCCTCCCCCATTTCCCAGTGCTTTTTCCGTACCTTCCTCACGGGCCGCATAGACTCCTGTCTACAGGGATTGTTTTGGGTGTGCGGCCATCGTGGGCCCACTCCCAAGGCACCTGCTACCTTGGACTAATCTTGCCTGGGATCAGGGTCACCCCAGACCTTCCCCCTGGAAGGAGACGCAACAAGAGGGCAAAGGACTTGTCAGAACTTTCCGGGGAAACCTATGGGTGAGCCCTCTTCCCTGCCTACGGAGCAGGATCCAACCATGTAGACATTCTTAAACTGACGGACATTCTATTAACTTTTATGGAAGAATCTAACGCGGCAACCCAATCTATCCTAACAGAGCTGACAGAGGTCAGACAGATGGCGATTCAGAATCGTCTTGCTTTGGACTATATTCTGGCTTCGACTGGAGGCGTATGTACCCTCGTAGGAACCGAGTGCTTTACGTACGTCTCTGATCAGACCTTGAACATTACAGGTCATCTCAACAATATCCACAAACTGACCGACGAATTTAGAGATATCCAACATGAAGGTCTATCCGATGCTCAATTTTGGAGCTGGCTACCGGGATCCGGATGGATAAAACAACTCTTGGGGAACGGACTCCTGATTCTGATCACTGTAGCTATTTGCATTGTTTTCTTCTGCTGCGCTATCCATTACTTCCCGCTTTGCTGTCAAACGTGCGACTCCTGCGTTCCGCTTCTCCGATCCCGCACGCCTGCCTCTCACAGGATGTTCCCACCAGGAACCCCTTCGACTTCCATCGAGATGGGACCCCTAGGAGCTCGGCGAAATCCGGATTCTGGGTATGGCATGTCAGACTTTTACGAGCTTGTGCGGAGAAAAGGATTGCGCGGTGTCCACCTTCGCAATCTTATCTCCGAAGGGGGGAACTGTAGCAGGAGACCCTCCCTTTGTTACACTGTAATGCACAAGCACCACACATACACACCCCACCTTCCCCGAGCCTAGGGATGTCCCTTCTAGAGGGGCATCCCCTAAAAGCCTTCTGTAAATAAGGAAGCGCTAGCTTGACAGCTCCACGCTGAACCCCTTTATTTTCATATATTTTCCCTGAGTAGACCGTACAACTCTACCTCGCCCTATCCTTATAATGGGTCGACCAACTGTCTGAATTCAGGGTCAATCGGCTGCCGCTTCAGCCAATCAGCGTTACCGAACAGCACCCCTTGTGGCGGCCACGCAGGTATTGCAGGCAGCAGGCGCGCGCTTCTCTATACTTTGACAGCTCTCAAATACAAAGTTTCCGAGTTCAATTGACCGTGACTGATTTAATCAAAATGTTGCAACCCGCTTCCGGGAAAGTGAAAGTGGTTTTGAACTTCTGGGGCAGTTTCTTCATAAATTCACTATAAATCAGCCGTACATCGGATTTTCACCGGATCACTTTTATTTTGCTCCATGTTACAAGGACTATCAAAGGGGGGTGGATCAATGTCAGTCAGCCATAATCCTTTGACCGAGGAGGCACGTACTCAACAGCCCTTCCCAGTTGGCATGGCAACCTTGATAGTCATCTTGATGGGCTCAGACAGAGGACTATCAGGGACACGAAGGACTGCATATGCGAGTGGATTCAACTCGGACTATGACAAAGGGACAGTGATCGGATTCACCTCAGGGGGTAGGAAACTGCGCCCATCTTTTTGTCTTCTGGAAATGACTCATGGGGAGGGGGAGAAGGGGCTCCGGCCAGGTGTCATGATACCCAGATTACCTGTGCAACCCCTCCCCTGACTCCTCTTGTTTTTAATGTAGTCATGATGTAGTTATGATGTATTTCTAGGGGTGTAATTTAGGGGATTAGGAGCTAATAAAAGTTGGGGTCTTCTTTTGTTCTGGGCTTCCATCTTGCTTCACCTCGTGGGCGGTGGGAGTCCTGTTGGGACAGTCTTTCTTCAATAAAGACCGAGGCTACAGGCTGCTGATTTGCTCCAAATTGCTCTGGTTGGTGTCTTGATTTCTGCCCAAGGGAGCCCTCAGATTCTCCGGTAACACCGGTTTGTGAATGTTCTTTGGAGCCCAAATGTCCGACGGGGCAGAAAGGAACAAGACAGGGTTGCCCAATCTCCCCATTGCTTTTTATATCGGTCCTGGAGGTTTTGCTCAATATGATTAGGAAAGACCAATTGGTTAAAGGTATACAACTCGGAGCTAAACAGTACAAATTGAAAGCTTTTGCTGATGATTTAGTTTTGACACTACAGGAGCCAGAATCCAGTACAAAAAGAGTATTGCAATTAATTCAAGAATTTGGTCAAGTAGCAGGTTTTAAATTGAACAAGATGAAAACTAAGGTATTAGAGAAAAATCTTACAGAGATTGAGAAAGAGAGGTTTCAGAAGGAGACAGGATTAACATTAGTTAATAAAGTGAAATATTTAGGGGTGCATATGACTGCTAAAAATGTGAATTTGTTTAAGATAACTATGAAAAATGTTGGGTAGAAGTAAAGAAAGATTTGGAAATATGGTCAAAATTGAAGTTATCATTGTTGGGCCGAATTGCTGCGATAAAGATGAATGTATTGCCTAGAATGTTGTTTTTGTTTCAAACATTGCAAATTGTGGACAAAATGGACTGCTTCAAGAGGTGGCAAAGAGATATTTCTAAATTTATCTGGCAGGGCAAAAAGCCTAGAATAAAATTTAAAATATTAACAGATGCAAAGGAAAGAGGTGGATTTGCCCTGCCAGATCTTAAACTTTATTATGAATCAGCCGCATTTTGCTGACTGAAAGATTGGCTACTTCTTGAAAATACGGACATTTTGGACTTAGAAGGTTTTGATAATGTGTTTGGATGGCATGCATATTTATGGTATGACAAGGTTAAAGCGCATAAGGCCTTTAAGAACCACATTGTCAGGAAAGCATTGTTTAATGTTTGGATGAGATATAAGGATTTGTTGGAAAGTAAAACACCAAGGTGGCTGTCACCAATGGAGGCTAAGGCTTTGAAAAAAACTAATATGGAGACAAACTGGCCAAAATACTGTGAAATTCTAGAACAAGTTGGAGATAAACTAAAGCTGCAGAGTTTTGATAAACTAAAAACTAAAGTTCAAGACTGGCTTCATTATTATCAAATAAGGGAGGCTTTTAACCTAGATAAAAAGATTGGTTTCCAGGAGGAAAAATCCAAACTGGAAACTGAATTGTTAGAGCCTAAAATTAAGAATCTGTCAAGAATGTATAACTTGTTGTTGAAATGGAATACACAGGATGAAACGGTTAAATCTGCTATGATTAAATGGGCACAAGATTTTGGACATAATATTATGTTTGCTGACTGGGAACGGTTATGGACCACAGGTATGAAATTTACGGCTTGTAATGCTTTAAGAGAAAACATAATGAAAATGATTTATAGGTGGTACTTAACCCCAGTCAAGCTAGCCAAAATTTATCATACGCCCGACAATAAGTGTTGGAAATGTAAAGAAAATGAAGGTACTTTCTTCCACCTTTGGTGGACGTGCCCAAAGATCAAGGCCTTCTGGGAAATGATATACAATGAATTAAAAAAGGTATTGAAATATACTTTTCTAAAGAAACCAGAGGCCTTCCTCTTGGGTATGGTCGGCCAATTGGTGCGAAGGGAAGATAGAACTTTTTTTATGTATGCGACAGCAGCAGCGAGAATACTTATTGGGAAATACTGGAAGACACAAGAATTGCCTACCCGAGAAGAATGGCAGATGAAAGTGATGGACTATATGGAACTGGCTGAGATGACCGGCAGAATTCGAGACCAGGGAGAAGGGTCTATGGAAGAAGACTGGAAAAAATTTAAATTATATCTTCAAAAATATTGCAACATAAAAGAATGTTAGAAAGAGGTTGGAAAAAGATCATTAGGTCGTTTAGGCTGAGATGATATTATGGACTAAGTAAAAATGAAGTGTAGAAACTGATGGGATAGAGGAGTACTAATTATGCTATTGAATGTTAAAATAAGTAATGAAAAGAAGGTTAGAAGGATTTGCTGGAAATATGATTTAAACTAGAATACAAAGCAGGGAGGTGAGAGGAGGTCACGGAAATAAGTAAAAGGAAAAAAAGGCTGTAAAGGTTTAACTTGATTTTTGTCTCATTTTATTGTAATGTATTTTTATATTTTTTGTTGCGTTTTTCTTATTGTCTTTTTTTTGTTGTATGTTTATGATTTTCTCTTGTTGTTTTTTTTTTTTGTAATTTGAAATTTGGAATAAATATATTATAAAAAACAAAACAAATGTCCGACGGGGCTTCCGCAGCTTCCGAATGTTTTGGAAGTCAAACGGACTTCTGAGGTACCACTGTATATCTTCTCGGAGCAGGGGCAATCCCATTGCCGCCTTCAGTTCTGGTAAAGCTAAGAATTGCTTGTGCAGATCTTGATGCCTTCAAGGCCGAGGCTGTCATCTGATGAGACCCAGTACTCCTATCAGAGAAGCAAATCCTCAAATACAGTCATTCCTCTTGTTCCGCTCGGTTCAAGTTATGTCTTTTCAGGTTGCGTCCCGCAGCGACCCGGAAGTAACGTGTAATGGTTCTAGGGGTTGCTCGTGCGTAATTCGGCGCCACACCTGGCTGGGTTGCCTGAGTGAACCTTTTCTGTCTGGACAGCCACTCGCCCGTGGCTGTCTCAATCGCTGGCAGAATCCGTCATTGGGCGTTTCTTGAACTTCTTCCAGCAAAGAAGTTCTTTGACGCCTAGTCTCCGCCTACTCTCACTGCGCGGAAGCCTTCTGCGCAGGGAGGGTGTGGGCAGCGGAGGACCCGTGCTCTCCCCACTGGTCCCCGGCGAGGAGTCATGGAGCCACCTCGTCGATTCCCCCATCTGCCCCCCTTCTCCACTGGTGCTACGCTGATTTCCTTCCCCAGAAGATGTGCTGCTTCTCTCCCTCCCGGGACGCTCTCTGGAATCCCTCTGGAGCCCTCCCTCTCCCCCTGGCTCCGATGGCAGTTCCGTGACATAACGGAACGGGTTACTTCCAGGTTTCACTGCTCGCGCATGTGCAGACGCTCAGAATGATGTGCAGACGCTCAGAATGTTTGTGCTAACAACACCGTATCATTGGCATGTAGCAAAATGGATACATTATGGGATAAAAATGAAACAGGGAAATATCTGGCCATTTGGGTTCCTTTATTACATCATTTACATAAATGTTAAAAAGCAGAATTTTAGAAAGTATTTCAAAGTGTTTAAAATGATTTAGGAATTACAAGGTTAACTTTTTTAAAAAGATATTAAATAAGTTTTAAAAGCCTGTATGTGTAACTGCTGATGATGTTGGGGGGTGGCAGCAGCTGTGGTTGTAAGACTCCCTTAAAACTGATTTACAGTGCTGGCTCTTGGGGATTGAAAGGGCACATAAAAAGGCCTTGCCCCAAATTAAAGAAAAACCAACAAACAACCCCAGTCAAACAATTAAAAAAAACCAGCTTGTGGAGCTCAGATGAACAAGTCCCACTTTGGTGCAACTTGACCGGAATGACATGCACAGATGCTCCCTTCTTTTTCTCAGTGATAGCAGCTCTTTTGGCTGAGGTGTGGCAAGGAGCTGAAACAGTATTTAAGGAAGCTGAAGCATTCCGTGTGAAGCTCCAGGAGCTTGAAGAGAAACTCCAGGCGTTGCCAGCAACACTCCAGGAGCCGCAAGCCAGAGGTATTTTTGAGAATCCTGTCTTCACATGGCCCTCCCTCCCAATGATGTTGGGTTTCAAGTCCCATCATCCATGATGAGCACTGGCCATGTTGGCTGGGGCTTAGGGAGTCCCACCACAGTCTGGAGCCCAGTTCAGTGCGCCTTTGTGGGCAGCTGGTAGCCATGCCAGGGTCGCCTTCGCTGCGTGGAAGGGGTGGCCTCCCCCCCCACCCCCACCCCATGCGCAGGAGACCAGAGGCCAGTAGCAGACTGCGCATGTGCCTCTGAAGGGCACAAAGGTTTGCTGCCTCCTTGTGTGCCCATGTTCTTGCCAAAAAGAATAAAAATACAGCATATGGTTGCACATACCAGGCACCAATGTTAATGGTGGTTCTTTGGCTTTTCCTTCAGGTGAGGAACACGAGGAGGAGGAGCAGCAGCAGGAGGAGGAGAAGGAAAAATAAAGAAAATGGGGGGGGGATATATATTTCCCTATATATTTCTATTATTAGTTCTATGTATTGCTTCTTTATTTAATAAAATTTATTTTTAAAAGCCCGCAACGTGGTTTACCAAAACAAAAAACCAAAAAACCACCACAGCAGTAAAATCAAGAAAAATCAACAATCCTACTTTAAAACATACAAAAGCTAAAATATTAAAAGAGATGAAAATTACTTCAACTTCCTAAGCTTCTAGGTATGCTTGCCTCAACAAGAATGCTTTTAGCAGGTGCCTGAAAAGCGTCTAGCAAAGGCACGTGCTTTGTTGCAAGAGGCGGGGAGTTCCAAAGGGCAGGTGCTGCCACACTAAACAATGCAGTGCAGATATTATGCGGAACCTGTAGGAGTGCTTGAAACTGTTAGAATTCCAGCTCCATGATTGCAGTCATGGGATTGTTGTCTAAGTTTTGACTCCACAGAGTGGGAAGTGATGGCGACAGGATGTTTGTGTTCCTGTGTTCCGTGAAGTGGGACTATTCTCCTTTGTTCTTTTTCTCTTTGCTGTCTGATGCTAGAGAGAGAGATGTTGCAGTGCTCCGTGTGTGTGTTGATATGTAAATAAAGTTGATTAGCCAAAATGCTGAGTTGCTGAGGTCTGTCACGCATGATGCACAAACTCTGCGGATCCCTAAGTGTGCCGGTGTCGCTTGGCATCGGTCGCTGTGATGTTCGGGCGGAAGAAAGCTTATGAAGCTCCCAAACGATCGACCAGGAGCGAGGGAACATGCCAGTTGGGCACGTGTCTCTGCCAGGGTGCTACTCGAGTGTAGGCTGAACTCCTGACAGAAACTACGGAAGGGGAGGTTTTAGTTATGGGGATTTCACCATGCTCTGAAAAGGAAAACATTGATTTCAACAGCAGGCCTGCACAGCAGCAATCTACTCGCCTGCGAGTCTCATCATGATCAGTGGGACTTCTTCCCGAGCCGGCGGTGCATAAGATGGGCTGCACCCCTTGCATCCAACTTGTACCTAAAACTCTGCACAAGCCTGCACCAGAGAAGAGTGGAGTTGGAAGGGACCCCTGAGGGTCATCAAGCCAACCCCCTGGGGCAATGCAGGAATCTCAAGTAGACTATCCCTGACCGATGCCCCCCCCTCGTCTTCTGTTTTTCCTCTCAGCCAGGACCCACAACAACGGAGACTGGAGGTGGGGGGAAAGATAAATTTTGACGAGGGAAAGGCAATGGGGCCGATTTGTCAGGCGCACACAGGCACAGCTTGAAGACTTTACGCAGAGAGGAACCCCACACGGGAGACACAGATACACAAGCACACAGAAGTCAATAACCCAAGAGTGGCTTCTAAGTGGGGGGTTGGCTGAGGACAGGGTTGGGCGGAAACATGTGGAGCTTTGCAGAGGGGAGGCAGAAAGCGTTTGTCAGAGGGAAACTCACTTTCCCTTTTAGAAACCGGCCAAGATCCCTTCTGCATTTGCAGCGCTGCCCCCAAAGTGACCCTTTCAATCCACTTGATATAGTCCAGCTGTAGGCGCTGCTCTTCCAGGCAGAATGAAAGGCGCACCCACCGATCCCGCTTCCTTCCTGTCCCCTTCCTGCCCCCCTCCGTTCTTTGCTCACCTGCCTCCTTCCCGTCCTCTCCCCTGCCTGCCTCCTCCAGCCGGGAGCGCCCACCCACGACTCCCAGCTTCCCAAGCCTACAGTGAATGTCCCCCCCCCCCGCAGGATGACACCCAGTGCGGACCGCCCCCACCCTGCTCCGCCACTGCTCTGGAAGAAGCTGCTCTGCTGAGAGCAGGACATCTCTGAAGACTCGGCTGGGGTCCTTTAATCTCTGGTGATACATCCCACTGGCTGAGGTGTGGTGAGCTGCAGACTGACTCCCACAAGTCACCAGCTGAGAGGTCCATGGTCCAGATGCCACTACACCCATAGGTGCTGAAAAGTACCAACTTGAATGGCTCTGAAAGGAAATCAGACAAATTCAACGTTGAGATTTCTATGCTGTCCATCGGACTGGGTTGCCCCAGCCATTCTGGGCGCTCCCAGCAAATTGAAACATCCAAAACTGTAAAACACCCCAAAATCTTTCCGGTACCGAAGCCAATTGGATTGACTGTTGAATCTTCTTCCAAGTACTTTGGAAAGGACAGGAGCTTTCCCTGCACTTGAGAGCAGTCAGCTAACGTAGGGGTACAGGACAGGCCACAGGGCACTCCCAGCTCAACCCCTCACCTCAGCATCGGCCGCCTGAGGCAGCTGCCTCACTCTGGCTCATCAGAGGTCCGGCCCTGCTTGGGAATATGAGTGGGAGAGGGCCATTGCACTCAGGTCCTGCTTATGGGCTTGTTGTGAGCCTCTGCTGGGCAACTATGGGGAACAAGGTGCTGGACTAGATCATCCGTTGGTCTAATCCAGAAGGACTGTTCTTACATCCGGGGTGGACTGGAGGCAACTCCAACTTGCAAAAAGCCCTGGAACACCAAGAATTGCAGACTCCCCCACTCGCAAGCAAATGAGCTATTGCTTCGCTTCTTAAAACAAAAGAAAAAAACAAACCCACGTCCAGTAGCAAACAGACCAAAGAAAGTTGCATTTTTGGGTGGGTAGGAAGGGTGTCCTTTTCCTTGGGCTGATTTAGGTCCTCGGCTTTTAGACTCCAGAAGTGGCACAAACAGGGATGGAACTCTGCTTCAGTTCAAAGGGAGGTATGATTGGCAGGCAAGGTGACACAGCCAGTTATGTGGAAGGGAGGAGGAGGAGGAGGGTGGGGAGGTCACAAGGGAGGAAAGAGCTCTGCACCTCAGCTCGGAATTCTTTTGGAAGAGTGGAGGGGAACAGAGGAAACCTTTCTTCCTGTCAGGGAACTGCCATCGGAAGGAAGGGAGGTGAAAGGACTCAGACAGGTTGGAAGAGACTCAGCAGCTGAAGAGGGAACCAGCAAGGGGAGAGAAGCTGAACTGAGGGAGGTGAAAGGGCTCAGACAGGTTGGAAGAGACTCAGCAGCTGAAGAGGAAACCAGCAGGGGAGAGAAGCTGAACTGAGGGAAAGGGAGCTGGGGGATGGCTCAGAGATACTTCCAGCGAAAACAGTGGTGAGGTTTCCGGACCTCCTGTAGGGACACCCACTCCTCGCCGGAAACTGTCACGCAGAGAGTCCAGAAGACGTGTTTCCGTTAAGGAGCTTTTATGTTGGAAGCGATTACGAAAGCAACCACTGTCGGAATCTTCTAGTGACTAGAGGAGCCATGTCAGAGGGGCTCAGTCACAGACAGAGGTTTGTGGACTTGAACAAACTCTGAGGGAATACGATTTTACGCACAAGCAGCTCATCTTCCCATCACAGCATTCCGACAGTCTTTGAACGCAGCTTGTGCAGGAGAAGGCATAATGAGCAACCCAGCAGGAACCGGAGAAGCAGGGGCTGGAGCGGGTCCAAGCCTGGAAGAAAGGTACCGGGTGTTGGAGGTCCAGCTGGCGCTGCAGACGGCGAGGCTTGAGGAGAGGAGGGCTCAAGATGCAGACAAAAGGGGAAAGCCACCCAGCTCGCCAGAAAGGTACCAGGATTGGTGCAGAAATTTGGGGGGGAGCCCAAAGACTATCATAGCTTTCGGACAGAAATGCAATATGCCCTCAATCTGCAGTTTGATGATTTCCCTGATGAGGAATCACGAGTGGCTTTTGTGATTGGGCATCTTGAAAAGGGGGGCGAGAGAGACTGGGTTAGACCCCTGATGGCAGCGCATAGTGACGTCCTAAAGGACACGATGAAGTTCTTTCGCGCCATGGATCTGATGTTTTCCAGCGATATTGAAAAGGGAGTGGTGCGCAGACAGTTAATGGCTTGCAAACAGGGGAGCCGATCTGTACGTGAGTACTGGACTGAGTTCACCATGCTGATACACAGATTGGGGTGGGACTTATCGGCGGAACCCATTCAAATGCTCTTTGAAGAAGGGCTTTCTTCGGCTGTGAAAGATGAACTTTCCCGGGCGCCCAGGGCGGAGTCTATGGACCAGCTGACCAAATCAGCGCTGGCCATAGGAGCGCGCCAGGAGGCGAGCATTGGAGAGGCGGGAAGGGAAAGGGGAACGTTGGAAGGAGTTCCGCATTCCAGACATTCCAGAGCCAACTTTCCCGCCGGCAGAGCCGATGGAAATCGGAACAGCGCGCGCGCAGTTTCAAAGCCCAGTGAGGGGGGAAAAAAGGAGGGAAAAGGCGCCCGGAAATGCTATCTCTGCCAACAGCCAGGGCACTTTGCCAGAGTCTGCCCCCAGAGGAAGGAATGGCAAGGGATGGTGGGAGCTGTGGAGGGAAGAGAGGAAAAATACCGGAGCAACTAAAGCCAACGCCTGGCTGCCATTGTCGGGGCACAGCAGCCAGGCCAAAGAGCAGTGAAAGTGCCCACGCCAGAACCTCCTAAACCCGCCCTAGTGATAGAAGTGACACTAGAGCTGCCAAACGGACACCCTCTAAAGATAAAGGCGCTGTTGGACTCAGGCAGCTCCTGCAATTTCATGAGCAAAGAGTTTGCAGCTGAACACCAGATACAGACGCTCCCTTTAAGCAACCCCCTGCAGGTAACCACGATCGATGGCAGGGAGCTGTTGGGAGGAGAAGTCAGCTTGCAGACCGTCCCAATGATAATGAAGGTGGCAAGGCACACCGAACTAATTGCGTTTAATGTGGCCACCTTGGGAGGAGCTCCCATTATATTGGGGATGAGCTGGCTAGCGTTACATGATCCGCTGGTGGGCTGGCATCAAAGAGTGGTTTCTTTTGGGTCAGCACATTGCTTAGAACACTGCAAAGAGGAAAGGTTTTGGCAGGGGCCCAAGCCACCCTAGCAGGGACTGAAGTAACGGAGAACGTGAAGGTACCACGACAATACGCAGATCTCCGCGACGTCTTCAGCGAAAGGAAGCTGACCAACTACCACCGCATAGAGCCTTTGACTGTCAAATCAATTTGCTCCCTGGGGCACAGCTCCCTGTGGGCAAGC